CATTGAAAAATTATGTTCCGTCCACATAGATGATTGATTTGTTCTGCGCGGCAAAATAATCGTGATAAATGATCTACAAGCGCGTACATAGGAATTAAATATTTATTATATTAATTTTTAAATTAGGCAAGCTAATCATGAAAAATTCAAGCTTCATTAATGATTATTCACATAAGAATTTTTTTTAACGCATAAAGCCTGGTACGCAGCTGAAAAGTAATGACGTTTTTATGTGCTACCGGATAGGACACGGAATGCAAAAGAAATTACTTTTCCTCAGCATTTCTTGACCCAGTACGCAGTTCAAAAGAAATCGGTAAAGGAAAGATCGATTACATTAGTATCGTGATCGACATGAAGGTGGCGCATTCTGAATGCAATTTCACTTTCCTTGCGGAATAATGGTCTGATCAATTATTCCGTTAGGTAATGTTGGCGTTTATTGCAAAACTGATGTTTTGGATGCATTTAAACAACATAAACACTAATAAGTGTTGATTTTACAATTTGACGACATCTCGCTATAATCTCAAAATTTAGCAGACTATAGCTGTCAACTTTTCTTTTGGGAAAAATCCTCAAAAATTACTTTTCCGTTTTCTTTTCAGCTGCGTACCAGGCTTAAAGCCTGGTACGCAGCTGAAAAGTAATGACGTTTTTATGTGCTAACGGATAGGACACGGAATGCAAAAGAAATTACTTTTCCTCAGCATTTCTTGACCCAGTACGCAGTTCAAAAGAAATCGGTAAAGGAAAGATCGATTACATTAGTATCGTGATCGACATGAAGGTGGCGCATTCTGAATGCAATTTCACTTTCCTTGCGGAATAATGGTCTGATCAATTATTCCGTTAGGTAATGTTGGCGTTTATTGCAAAACTGATGTTTTGGAAGCATTTAAACAACATAAACACTAATAAGTGTTGATTTTACAATTTGACGACATCTCCCTATAATCTCAAAATTTAGCAGACTATAGCTGTCAAATTTTCTTTTGGGAAAAATCCTCAAAAATTACTTTTCCGTTTTCTTTTCAGCTGCGTACCAGGCTTAAAGCCTGGTACGCAGCTGAAAAGTAATGACGTTTTTACGTGCTACGGGATAGGACACGGAATGCAAAAGAAATTACTTTTCCTCAGCATTTCTTGACCCAGTACGCAGTTCAAAAGAAATCGGTAAAGGAAAGATCGATTACATTAGTATCGTGATCGACATGAAGGTGGCGCATTCTGAATGCAATTTCACTTTCCTTGCGGAATAATGGTCTGATCAATTATTCCGTTAGGTAATGTTGGCGTTTATTGCAAAACTGATGTTTTGGATGCATTTAAACAACATAAACACTAATAAGCGTTGATTTTACAATTTGACGACATCTCCCTATAATCTCAAAATTTAGCTGCCTATAGCTGTCAAATTTTCTTTTGGGAAAAATCCTCAAAAATTACTTTTCCGTTTTCTTTTCAGCTGCGTACCAGGCTTTAAGCCTGGTACGCAGCTGAAAAGTAATGACGTTTTTATGTGCTACCGGATAGGACACGGAATGCAAAAAAAATTACTTTTCCTCAGCATTTCTTGACCCAACGCAGTTCAAAAGAAATCGGTAAAGGAAAGATCGATTACATTAGTATCGTGATCGACATGAAGGTGGCGCATTCTGAATGCAATTTCACTTTCCTTGCGGAATAATGCTCTGATCAATTATTCCGTTAGGTAATGTTGGCGTTTATTGCAAAACTGATGTTTTGGATGCATTAAAACAACATAAACACTAATAAGTGTTGATTTTACAATTTGACGACATCTCGCTATAATCTCAAAATTTAGCAGACTATAGCCATAGAGGTAACTCTAAGACTACTGGGTCCCGAAGAAAATCATTATTATTTTTGGCTCACTCAGTACCAGAACAACGGTCCCAAGCAGTCCCAAGCTATTTCACTCACCCCTGCATGTTCTGCATGAATCCACACACCCCTGATGTTATCTGTCAAACTTTCATAGCGAATCAAAACAAACATAGTGTAGTAATAGAATTTCAATAAGAATAGGGTACGTTAATCGTTTGCTTGGGACCAATAGGCTACTAAAGTGGTGAGCCAATTTAAAATCGTTAGTTTCGTATTGATTGTTGCTATAGCTGTCAAATTTTCTTTTGGGAAAAATCCTCAAAAATTACTTTTCCGTTTTCTTTTCAGCTGCGTACCAGGCTTAAGTGTCGTCAATGCAATATAAACAAACATTGTAGGGTACAGTGCTGACACCACCAATGGTGGTGGCTTCAGCAACCCTCCTTCTTGGCAGTGGATTGGTTAAAACACTCTCGCCCTTGTCAATATTTTGTTGCCCTTTAAGCCTGGTACGCTGGAAAGGTTCAGAGACACCTGTCTGAGATCAAATCATCAGATCATACGTGATCTAGCACGTTAGGTTAAGTTATACTCGTAGTTAGGTAGGTTATCACTTTTTTCAATTCAAATAAAACACATCCCCAAAGGGATATTCTGTAAACTAGTTGAAAAAACGCAAATATTAAATTAGAATATCAAATTAAATAAAGATGAAGAGCCAAGTAGGCTAATCAATTAAAATGATAAATCAATGTACTACCATAATCAACAGAAATAAACATAATTTTACTACTACTAAAGCCTGGTACGCAGCTGAAAAGTAATGACGTTTTTACGTGCTACGGGATAGGACACGGAATGCTAAAGAAATTATTTTCCTTTAGCATTTGTTAGTGAAGACTAACTAACTAATTTTTTCCTTGTTTCAAGATCATCCTCGGTCCACGCAACCCGAGGACTTATCACTATCAACAAGGCATAAAAAGTAACAAGGACTAAGATGTGTTCCTTTGATTACTGTAAAATCCTGTTCCCCTAGTTTGAAGTAGTCAAGACTAGGAATCGGTGGTAGATCTTACATCCCGTAACGTACCACGAAAAGGTGATCTACCCACGTTACGGGGCATCGATTACATTAGTATCGTGATCGACATGAAGGTGGCGCATTCTGAATGCAATTTCACTTTCCTTGCGGAATAATGGTCTGATCAATTATTCCGTTAGGTAATGTTGGCGTTTATTGCAAAACTGATGTTTTGGATGCATTAAAACAACATAAACACTAATAAGTGTTGATTTTACAATTTGACGACATCTCGCTATAATCTCAAAATTTAGCAGACTATAGCTGTCAAATTTTCTTTTGGGAAAAAGGCTCAAAAATTACATTTTCGTTTTCTTTTTTTTATGGTAATAGCATAGAGGTAACTCTAAGACCACTGGGTCCCGAAGAAAATCATTATTATTTTTGGCTCACTCAGTACCAGAACAACGGTCCCAAGCAGTCCCAAGCTATTTCACTCACCCCTGCATGTTCTGCATGAATCCACACACCCCTGATGTTATCTGTCAAACTTTCATAGCGAATCAAAACAAACATAGTGTAGTAATAGAATTTCAACTAGAATAGGGTACGTTAATCGTTTGCTTGGGACCAATAGGCTACTAAAGTGGTGAGCCAATTTAAAATCGTTAGTTTCGTATTGATTGTTGACACTAGTGTGATGCGCCATAGCGCAACCGGCCCCCTCCCATGATGTAATGCTTTCGGGCGGTTCCGGGGAGGGCAAGGGCCAAGAGCACAGGGTAAGGTTTAGTGGGTCGGGAGCGCTACTTCTCCCATCCCCACACCCTGAGTTATCTTCTCAGGTGTCTGGGAGCAGATTCCCCCCTGTATAAAAAAAAAAAAAAAAAAGGGGGTTGATCCCTAGGTACACCGCGGAAGGCACGGTTTATGCACTGAACAATTACATGGATCAATAAAAATGCTGTGGTTTTGACAGAACTATGCTGTGGCTACCACAGTATTTTAAATTTGATCGTCCATATACAGTGGCGCCAAAAGCATGCTTTGGTGGGTTCAAAATTTGACCATCTAAATTGATCAATTACAATTGGGTTCTTTAAGGGTATTGAGGTAAATGCATATTCGTAATCTGCATTAAAAATGGAACCCATACCCAAAATTTCATCAATTTCGGTACACTGGAACTATTTTAAATAAGAACGATTACATTTGCAAAAATCACCTTATTAGCACCCCTCGGTATCACTTTGTATAGGAGCGAGCTGTCAGTTTGTCACTTTAGTGTCAAACAGTAAAGTTATTATTATGCTTTAAATCTTGATTTAAAAATCGAGATGAAGGTGTGTGGGTTCGAAAAAAATATCGCTGTGCTCAGAAAACAAAGCTCTTTCAGAAAATATATAAAAACCGATATATGTTTTCAAAATTAAAGAACCCAATTAGGAGAGATGAACTAGCCTTCGGCTAAAAATCTCTATAATAAAGACTTTAAAACAGGGTTACTTCCACTCACTTGCTATAAAAAATTGTGTTTCCGAATTATGAAAACATTAGATGTTATAGTGATAATTAGTACTTGTAAGTTACAAGTAGGCGTCGTGAAGAATGTGTTTGATACATAAAACCTGTCAATATTGCTTTCAGTGCGTCACAATAAGCGATTTTACGATTCGTGAGCGCTCACTCTGAGTGAACGCTCGCGAATCATAAGATCGCTGATTGTAACGCTCTGAAAGCGAAATTGACAGATTTTATGAGTCAAACACACACTTCACGACCTCTTCTTGTAGCTTACAAGTACTAATTATCACTTTAACATCTAATGTTTTCATAATTCTAAAAAACAATTTTCTATAGCAAGTGAGTGGAAGTAACCCTGCTTTAAAAAAAAAATACAATTAGGTACAATTCCAAAAAGACACCAGAAGAGTTTTCAGGGAATACCGAGGATAATTCCAAGGGCATTTAGAGCCAAGTTTCTAAAGTATTATAAGAAGTATGCCAAGTAAATTGTCAGAAGAATTCAGAAGAGAACTCCAAGATAATTATGAGCAGAATTTCAAGACATTTCTGAGGTCTGTTGCATGGGATTTTTCTTTTAAAAAAATTGGAAAGACCGTCGTTTGAACTAGCGTTGTAAATTCTATTTTATTTAAAGACCGAAAAATCTGTAACTTGTAACACATTAAGAATGTATATATCTCTATCTCACTAGAAAGATTTCAACAGATATGTTACATTGCAATAAATTAGATATTGTGACGAAGTTCCATTCGCAGAGGCGTTTGGGCAAATTACCACTTCCTTTCAAGTACATTGATCACATTGAAAAATAGTCGTTCCCGAGCGATGTCGATCGGTCGCTGGCCGGCCAGGTTCCGTAGACTCTTGTCAGCTTTGGCACTGAGCAGAATCTCCACTATGCGTAGTTGATTCTGTTCGACCGCGTAGTGCAGCGGGGTGTCACCACGGCAGTCTTTTAGGTCGACAATTTCGTCGCTCCGACAGCGACTCAGAAGTAGTTTGATCACATTCAGTCGCCGTTCGCGACAGGCCAGATGGAGCGCGGTACAGCCGGATTTAGTCCTGGCGGATACACTGACGCGATGATCCAGCAGAATGTTGATCATGTCCAAATTGCCACTCATCGCCGCTACGTGCAGAGCGGTGCATCCGTCGCCGTTGGTGGCGTTGAGATTGATCTTGCTGGTGTTTTTCGGGCTGGAAGTGAATGGTTTCCTAAGAAGGGTGTAGAAATCTGCCGAATCGTTGAGGCATCGCTGGCATGTACACAGCGGATGGCAAACTTTTTCGGATGAGTAGTCTTTCGGAGCGGACGTGTTAATCATTGGAGTTGGTGGGAAGACTTCTAGCCCTAGGTAATAGCAAGCTAATTTGGTATCGTGGGCTACTATTGCAGTGATGGCTTTGTCGATTCGTTTCATCTCTTCAATGTTCCGATATTCCACGAAGGTTTCGTTGTCCAAGAGATCTTCATCGGATATAAGAACGTATTCTTCGTTTCCAACAGGACTCAAGTCGGAGGACTTTCGTCGTTTTTGTTGATCAGCGTAAGCGTCTTTCAACATTTTCATGATCTTGGAATTGTGGGCGTATTTTAGGGGCGTTGCACCAACTCGATTCGCTACGTTAACGGTAGCAGAGTGTTCCAATAACGTTTCAACGATATCTGAAAATCCCCATTTGGAAGCGTAGTGCAGTGCAGTCTGACCGAGTTGCGTTTGGGCGTCGATATCGACATGTATTTTCATGTGTTCCGAAAAGTAGAGCAAGGCCTTGACACATCCACTGTGACCGTTTAGACAGGCTAAATGAAGGGATGTATGTTGGTCGTTGCTCGTGCTGTTGATATTGATTCCGGCATGCAGAAGAAGCAAAAGCAAATTCTGATGTCCATTGGCAGCAGCGTAGTGCAGCGCAGTCCAGTTCTTTGCATCCACCGCGTCAACATTCGGTTTAAGATTCAGAATGAGGGTGAGCAATTTTGGACTGCCCAGTGTCGCCGCAAGATGAATCGCGGCCAAGCCGTTCTGGTTGCGATCGTCTATGTGCGGTAAGTAGGGCATCGATTCACATCTCATGCAACTGCAGAGAGGGTGACACTTTTTGTTTTTGGATTCGAAGTTTAAACTGCTGTTGTTGTTGTTGAAATCTTGGAATATGTTCAATATTTCCTCTTCCTCATTGTTCTTCATCAGCGTGAATAGGTAATTGAGGAATTGATCGGCATTTTTGAAACTCATTTCGCAGTACTTTTTCATTTGTATGTCCTCATCGGACATGATATCGATTCCCAAACGCTGGGAACGCTCGATACTGCAGCAGCTGATGTAGACGATTACGGCTTCCAGTGTTGTGATAAGATAGTTGTTCTGGCCGTGCTTATCCTTTTGAGGCACTGTTGATGACGGGTCGTTGAGTTGGAATTCTTTGAGAAACGTTACATTCATGATCCAATTAGTTAGACCTACGAGAAGATACAAATACACGATTTAGTAATCATTATTTGGATAATTTTCTAGCATTCCAGCAATTATTTATAATTTTTTAAGGTGGATTTGAAACCGACATGAATATCTAGTTTTTTTTTTCAGTATAGGGAGAATATTAGGTAAAATGGGCTATATCAAATCTGGGCAGTACTAGATGAAGTGAACCAGTTATCGAACTACTTAAAATTTGCTCCAATTTCGGCATGTATACTAGTTATGCCCTATGTGACCCCGTAACGTGGGTAGATCACCTTTTCGTGGTACGTTACGGGATGTAAGATCTACCACCGATTCCTAGTCCTGGCTACTTCAAACTAGGGGAACAGGATTTTACAGTAATCAAAGGAACACATCTTAGTCCTTGTTACTTTTTATGCCTTGTTGATAGTGACAAGACTCGGCTTTGTCCACCGAGGATGATCTTGAAACAAGGAAAAAATGAGTTAGTTAGTCTTCATCTATGTGATTCCTAATATTCTATTCGTTGTTCCCTAGGTTGAAGTGGTTAAGACTAGAGTTCTAATGCATGGTCATTATCGCCGTCATTCCTTAATGTTGTTGCTAAGGAATCCAATGTTGACTGCCAAAGGGCGCGCCTTTAGAGGGTGTTTAAAAACTCCAAAGGGTATAAATAGCGGGACCTTTCAATTAGAGTCGAATCCTTGCGATAAATGCAAGAATGACAACTGTAAAAAAAATCGAATACTTCATCATTTCTCAATAGTGGTGGAGTAATACGACAAGCACTAAACTAAGGACACGGGATATACTGCAATAGATCAAATTACTGGTCGCAGTGGTATTAGGTCCCGAACAGTGGTGCTAGTGCCTATTGCTATTGCCAGTGCAAGTACTAGTGTACATATGCCTTAATTGGCTCACTAACTCTAATGGATATTTAAGATTGCCAATGACAAGTTGTTAAAAAAATACTTCGGATTTTATGCATGGGCCCAACTTTAGGGACACTTAGGCAGATATTGGGGACATCGACGCTAAATCCTTTAGAATTTAGAAACCATGAAATTCTACCCAGACCTTGGAGTTCACCTCATAGCTGGCTTTGAATGCTTATCTGAATTATCTAGGAAATTGCCTCTAGTTTTCCAAGAAATTTCCCTTGGAATTCTCCTCAGAATTAACTCAAAATTAACAAAAGTTTATTTTCCCATTCTAACGATCAACTGCCTACCCCTAGGAAACTAGCGCCATGCTGACAATAGCGGTACAATCCAAACCGATAGCATACCCATGACTCATTATAATATAAAATTCGCAGTATGCTATCCTAACATTGTAACACTCACCGGTCTTGGTGATAACGAATATCAACAGAGGAATAACATCATCGGTGGTCGTCATCAGCTTCAGCTCGCCATTGTTTTTTCCCCAAGCAGCTCCGGCATGCTCGCGAGCAATTATCTCGAAAGCTTTCTTCAAACAACTGCTCTTATCAATGGCTGTGCGGCAGTCGTCGATCCTCAACAACTCTTTCTTTACGATGGGGATTACGTCAGCGTAGCTGCGCTTCAGCTTCATCTCCGTGATGTGGATGTCCGACAGGTTCCGAATGGTTTTGTTAAAGCTTTCCACCTGCTCCTGCTGGCACACGTTGATCACATCTTTCACGTGATCATACAGCTTGTCCATCATATAGGTTTCCACAGCAAGCTTAACATTGTGCTTGAGATGAGCATCCTTTTGGCATCGATCTTTCAATTTCCGGTTTTGAAGCACTATCTCCAAACATTGAATGTACAACTTTTTCACGTCCTCCTTGTACTGTTTGAGGTTCCATTTGGTGAAGTCTGATTTATTTTTCATGAAACTTTGAACTGCTGTGTCAATTTTGGAGAACACGTATCGTGGCTTAGCCACTGATCGTATAAATTCGACTGCATCTTGGAGCTTCTTGATGGTGGTTAATCTCCCGAATTCATCTTCTACGATTATGCCATACGGTCGCGTATCACACAATGGTCGCTCTATACACCACACTTTAAACTTCAAACCATTCGTGTAGAACACTTCTTCGAAAAGGATCGTCGCTTGTATTCCACCAGTGATCAGTTGACGCCCATGCAATCGTATATCGACACAGCTCAAATTTGTAAAATGCGTTTCGGGAAGCTCTTCGTTCGGAACTAGAATTTGAGCTAGCAGGAATTCCTGATCCACTAAACATCTGTCGTTGATGGTTCCACTGCGGGGTACACAAATGATCCAACCTTCAATCGGGGCCGTCTCCAAAAAGATCTGATGATCTGTTTGAAGTTTCCGATAGAAAGGATTCTGTGAAAGGTCTTCATCGTACTGAACGTCCATTGTCTGCCGATGCGTATCGCTTTAGTATTCATGCCAAAATATTTATTTCATTTTTATTATCTTACCAATCGTTAATTTTTATCCTTGACAAGAATAATCACATTTTCGTTAAAATGGAATCCACTTTCGGTGACGAAAACCACAGAACTACATTAATCAGCGACCTGAAATTGATATATGTACCGAGACATTTCTAAGTCTTCCTTGTGTTTCTACTGCGTTCTTTTAGTTCGATACCACTTACCTACCTACTGGGGAGAGCTCGACTGGCTGTATAGTGTAATCGTACAACTACACTCGATTTCCTACACACCCATGTTGTTTTGCATCATACCTACAGCGAAGAAAGGCATTTGCCTAGCTCGTGTAGTCGTTGTTTCTGCTTCTTCAAATCGTACTGCTAAGTCCTCTAACTTGAACTTCAATTGCACCTATGCTATAATACTGATAACGATGATTCAATACTGCTAATCTTATGTTTTTGCCTATGGCATGTGCTATAGAAGTATGCGTACTGGTGGTACTGAAATTAACCATGCTATACATTTCACAAAGTAATAACAAAGTCATGGCTGGTGATCAGCTGTACACAACCAATAATTGCATAATTGTCCCATATGAATAGAAAATCAAGCAAAGGTGGGACTGATTTGCGATAATGGGCAGTACAGTACCGTCATGAGTGACAGACTGATGGAAGTAGGGTGCTGCGTACAATTTTTGGTTCAACTTGCATAGATGGTATGAGGTATTAATTATGAAGGCAGTTTGTGTTCAAAAATTCAATTTGATTTGCTTTTATAAATATATAATCTTACGTTTTTTTTAGCAAGCATGTTTGGTAGTTTAAATAGAGTAAAGGATGGCTTTGGCAATACCTTAACCTTTACCTATTAAAAGTCCTAAAGTTCCAAAGAAGAAGAAACAAAATTATATGCCAACCAGAACCATTTTGATATTGTTAATACATGTGTGTTAGGGGAACACTTACTGTTAAATTAAATCACATAAAAAGTAGTTATTGATTTTGTCAAAACTTCATGTCACATCTGCATGTTGAAAATGCTACATGTCCATTGTGATTGTGATTGTGTAGTATAGAAGGAGGTCAAAGGTCAGGTATCCGATGCTTTTAGGCACCGTTTATGATATTTCAGTTGACAGGGGGTGGCATCACAGCATCTTTAATACCACCAGGTTAAATAAGTTCTGTGTAATCCACGAATGTGAAACAGGGCGAGCCACGTTGACATCACCGGTAGGGTAACGTATCGGCAAGACCCCATCTCAATATTAGTAAATTAGCTGCCATAAGGGAAGAGACAAGGGAGGGGGGTTTGTGTCGATTAATATATAGCTGGTTAATTCGAATATAAGTAAAATATAGATCAAATTAGTAATATATTACCTGTACCCTGGGCATTGGCATAACCTTGAACATTGCTTAACTGCAACCAGATCTCAGGGCTTGTCTGTATCTCTACGTTTTGAAAGATGCACACTAGTGATGCCGGTTGTGATGTAGCGGATCAAAAGTTTGTTGGAATTTTACCACTACCCAAAAATAAATAATTCTTTAGTTTAGGATTGTGATTTTAACTATGCATTGTTTTTCGAAATAATTGAGTCTATCGGCAGCAAGATTTTTTTTAAATTTATTTGGTTCCAAAGTTTTGCATCTTTGGCCAAACAAATGTTTTATGAAATTATGGAATAATAAGACATAATGATAATATTTCCCTGTCCAAGGATGAGGGGCTTGTTGATGATTTGTCAAGCGTTGCTATGATTTTTTTGCAATTTGTTAAAATTTTAGTTTTTCTCCAGTTCATTGATTTGAAAGGTTCAAGCGGGTTAATTTCACGGAGCCGTAAATTGTAGTTTTATCATAATTATAATATTGGCATAAAAAAAGTAATTTTAAATTCCCTTTTGTAATGCTACGGTAAATAGTTTGCTTTGAGTGTAAAGTAAATTTAGAAGAAAGTTCTAACAGTTTTTTTTAGTTTTTTTTTGCACTTCGAAACTTGACGGGTCTTTTTCTTCTTCTTTCCTTTATTTAACGTCGTTCTCTGTTCCGCAATCTAGTGCCAATCACCGACGGACATCGATTGCCATCCATTGACGGCAACCAAATGTGCAGGAAGGCAGCTTCCACACCTGCGTAGGATATCGCACCCATTCAAACACACATGGGCCGGGACCAACGGCTTTATTTCCCTTCCGAAGGAAGACGTGACCAGAGATTTTTATGCCTCAGAAAAATCCCACCGACCTCGGCTGGGATTGAACCCAGACCCATCGGGATGTTAGAAAGCAGTCACGCTTACCACTACACCAGCGGCGCCAGCAAACTTGACGGGTCATACATCTAACATAGTAGCAGCACAGACAAACAGACATAACACTGGCAAGTTGTTCATCGAACAAGCATTTAACGGACAATTTAAACGTATCGTAGTTGGTAGTACCGCCACCTGTGGCGCGCATAGTCAATTCGCTTGCGTTTGACGTTTACACACTACCGCCATCTGTTCAGTGTAGTGCCCACCACAGTGTACTCAACAGATGGCGGTAATGTTATAGCGACGATACTTAACAGTGAGAAATATTCAATGTGTTATGTCTGTTTGTCTGTGGTAGCAGTGACAGTATCGCATGTCCTAACAACAACTGCCTGCGACTAGAAATTGGCGTTGACGGCACCGTCGAAAAATTTGCTCTTCCAGCAAATTTAGATAGTTTCTTATGCCTTGACTGAGCAGTTATAACATGTTATAACGGTTGTCAAATAATTGCAACACAGAAACCACCATCAAGATAGCGCTATAACATGTTATAACTCTGTAGTCTGAACGTACTATTATGGGAATTTTCGGTGGAGTGAAAGGATAGTACAAAGTCCGCCATGTTTTACGCACAGTCTGACGTTTGCTTATGGATTTTCTCATAGGAGTAAAGAGCTACAGAGTCGCCGTCAACGCCAATACTAGAAGGAGAGATGAGCGGAGAAAATGTTTTGAGCCAAATGAACTGTCAAAATCTGAGCCAAACGAACATTCCCATTAGATTTTTTTTCTGAGGATTTTTTATTCTTACTAGATTACATTTGAGAGTATTGCAATCGAATAGAAATTCAATCACCTTTATGTTTCGTGTGCTTCTCAAATTCAACTAGTTTTTGGAATCAAAAGCAATATTCTAGCTCTATTGATTAATTGATCTTAGTTGGTTAATTAATGGCACCAAAAAATGAGCAAAATATTGCGATGCAATCAATTATTAATTTACACGTAAATCGAATCAAAAGTAAAAGTCATGTGAAATGCTAAGTTTTAGCAAGGGTTGCAAGATAATTTAGATACAAATCCCTGCTGCCGAATTGTATTTTGTTTTCTCCGCCCATCTCTCCCTCTGAGTATTTCTACCTGCGACTAGTGTTGGAGTGAATGACAGGGCTGAATACGGGTCAATACTAACAAAACTTTATCACTAACATGACCCCGAAACTTACGTTCATTCATTGCGCTAATAGTTATAACGTAGTTGTACGGTTGTACTTTCCTAATAACCCATCTATCACCGACAAACAGACATAACACTCGTAGGTTGTTCATCGAACACGCATTCGACGGTCAATTTGAGTGTTTTTGGTTGGTGGTTCCGCCACCTGTGGCGCGCAAGGTCGGTTCCCTTGCGTTTGACGTCTGCACACTACCGGCATCTGTTCAGCGTACTATCCATCACATGATACTCAACAGATGGCGGTAGTGTTTTAGTGACTATGTTTTGTGGAGAGAAATATTAAATGTGTTATTTCTGTTTGTCTGTGCATCTATGTTTCTTTTTTGTTGTGTGTGGGGGGAAGGGGTTTATGTAACCAATACTAATATCTTTCCCTCTGTTCTTTCATTTGTTTTCTATATCCTTTCATCATCACTCCATATCCCATCATCTTGACGAGAGATGAGTTACTTGCATGATGCACGCCCAAGTCGTACTACAGGGTAATATGTCGAGAGTGGGTATATCACAAAAACCACGCAGGAACGAAAATCGATGGAGCTGAGGCATAATGAGGTAAATTCTACACAGTATTTTAAAGGAGCCAACTCTAAGCAGGTAATAATAGCAATTAATAATCAAACAACCATAAAAGATAAGAATACATTTATTTATTTTAAATACAGTAGTGACCCGATTTTGTCAGCCCCTTAACTTTTTTCTTTCAATAATCTCGGATAACCATAATTCTAAATTTTTCTGTAGAACATTGGAAAAGTGACCTAGCGAGTACCATAGCTCGAGTCGTCTGTTAGTATTGTATCGCATGGAGAGCCCAACCGAGATTCTAGAATATTAAAACTGCAGTTGGTCAACTCTCGAAAAAAAAAGATATAATGATAATATTTTGTTTGTGTATGCAACAAGAAAAGATTGTGAAGTTTGTGTTTGACACATCGCATTCACCTCCGCATCCGTGACTCCTTCGAACTCTGAACCCAATATTCATGATACACTTGGCGTTTTGGGTCCATGACGAAACGTTGAAGTTTTCAGACTTCTTGTTTTTATTTTCACTGCCGGTCTTGTACTTGATAATTATTTGGGGTTAAATACGCGAAGGGGTCAATGTGCTTCGTATTTCTTCAAAACTAACCCTAAAATTAGATAATAAAATAACGCTTGTCGTTCAAAAACTTCGAAACAAATGCAGCCTAATCAAACTACCACAAGATTTTGCCAATGTCCAGGGCGCTTATGGGATAAAATAGCCATTTGTCTAAAATCGAGTGAACAGATTAATACCTATTAATAAGCCACTTCCCATTCTTAAGCATGTTAGCAACAGCTGTTCTTGTTTATTCAATTTAACTATTCAGGGCTGGTAGCGAGTCACTTTTTAGTGACTTGGTCACTTTTTTCAAGTCAGTCACTAAAAAGTCTCTTTTTTAAGGCCAAGTCACTAAAGTAACTATTTTCCCCTTTTTTAGCGTGAATTTATTTCAAAATTGATTATTCTTTGCGTTGTGACGTTTAATCGTCTTTCTCTATATACAGGATGTCTTCTCATTTTTATGGATAAAATTACCTTAGTTTTCCAAGTAAGTAAGTCCAAGATCTAAAAATATTAAATGTCTTGAAGATTCGTATTCCATGTACACGTTCAAGATATTGAATATTTTCATAGTTCCAGAAATAAGTAAAAAAATAATAAATGATTTATTTCAAGTTCGTAATTAACTTTATGAAAGACTAGAGATCTTCAATGCAGTTCCATTAACTTTACAACAATTGTAGGAACTTTGGAGAACTTCTGAGGAATGAAAGGAAATGCTGAGAATTTCAGTGAAGCTCTATAAAAAACTGCAGGGAACATAAGGGAAGTTAACACGCAAAGCGGTTATTTTAGCATTCGAGACTTTTCAGGAATTTTTATGAAGTTCCTAAAATTTCAGAGAACTTCACAGGCGCCAAGCGAACTTGATAAATTTAGAAAACTTTAGGGGTATTGTGCAATTTTTTTAAGAAGTTCTAAGCACCTCAGAGAAG